TCTCTCGTTATTACAGGCTGCTTGCTGAAGGAAATGATTTTTCAGAGGTACAACACAGCAGAAAAGCAGAGCGGTTTATAAAGCAACGAGTCTGAGAGAGGGGGGTGAACAACTGCGAGGTGTTTTACCCCCTGTTTTTGCACCTCTCTTACAAAAAACAGCTCTGTGATGAGGAACATATGCTATAGGCTCTGTTTTAACCATCTACAGAATTAAATCGAGTTTGATGAAAGCCGGTATCTATACTGTGTGTGTTGTGGTTATCCTGAGCCAAGAGTTCTCCCCACACCTTCACCCAGTCATTCTTGGTGTGTGTGTGTGTGTGTGCTCTTGCTACAGTGTGAGGACCATAAAAGTACATTTTGCTACTGAGTGAGGACATTTGGGTGGTCATCACTTTCTGAAACAGCTTTTTGAGGGTTAAGACTTGCTTATAGGGTTCAGGTTAGAATTAGGTTTAGGTTAGGTGTATAGTTCTGATAGTTAAGCTTAGGGTAAGGGGCTAGGGAATGCATTATGCCAATGACTGTCCTCACAAAGATAGAAGTATGGGTGTGTGTCTCTCTAATCACAATATAAAACAACACAACTTAAATAGTTTAATTTATTAGATGCCAGTGCTGTATTTTTTTTATAAAAGCTAATTGGCAAAAATTACATCCATAAATAAATATATTGATATTTTATGTTGTATTATTACTGTATATCTTTATCTCTAACATTTTTTATTGGCTGTAGGTGGAAGCAGGGGTTGCTTCTATTGCAATGCCATTGTTCATGTACCTAAATCACCAATCCTCTGAGCTGATGTGAGTTTTCTAAAGGAAAGTTGAAACAGCTGGACATACACTAATGAATATTATGGCAAACATTGTTTTTCTAACAAATGGACTTTAGGTTCATCAAGAATTTATTGTTATTTATTTTATTTGATATATTTGCGTGCATATGCATAATGAGGTACTAGTGGTAAATTTTTGTAAGTAATGTAAATGCAAATCTAACTTAATTATACTTAAACAGTAGTTTTAGAAAACATCCAAACTTGTAGCATGTGAAAAACAACTGTCCTTTCATTTTCTGTATGGCAATCTACATTATATTTGTAACCCACATGTGTACGACGCCTCTCCAGACACAGCTGTGTTGTGTTAAGATGGTGGGGGAGTGCATGGTGTGGAGAGCCAAGCGTCAAACTCGTGGACTGGTGTAATTGCAGTTGAGACCTTGCATCAGGTTAGGCCCCTTTTATTCAGCTTCACAGCGGGTTCAGTGCAGCACCTTACAAGGCGGAGAACACAGGTCTGAACCACAATATCACATTACACCCGGTTCAGACGGGAACTACGGTGTTCGAGTCAGGACACAAAAAGACTCACGCCAGATTTACAAAACGGTGTTGTACTGTCACCCTGTAACGGTAGCAATCCACTGCCTTACATATTCATGCAATCTTTATTCTAAACATTTACTTGCACCTGCACAAACTTGTGGACCTAGCCTAGGCAGACTCCCTACTGAAAATACGGTATGTTCCCAAGCATATGGCTACCCGCATCTAGGTACTTTTCTGAGGGTAGAACTATAAACCAGAACTAAATTCAAACATTTCCTCTCTCTGGAGATTTTCTGGAAGCAACCATTTTGTGGTCTGCTGCCTTCTTAGGTCTGCTCTCTGGGAGAAGAGAAAATGCTGAATCCCCTACGCATGGTTATCTGCTCACCAGTTGTGTGTGTATTCCACCCTTGTCACCCTAGGAAGGTCTACCTCTATGGCATCCTCTTCAAAAAGTGATGTGGGTCTGAACTACCTGGGTCATCCTCCACCAAGTCTTGGCAGAAGTCACAGCTAACCTGAACTAATCTTGCCTGGTGTTCCACCAATACCTCCACCATTTGTCTCATCAGTCTACCTCTATCTATTGTTTGCATTTGTATATTAAAACTTCTAAATTACTTGCTCTTCTGAGCGCTGCTTTTGGGTCTACAAAAACTAATACCTAACAGTCCCTGACAGTGTCCTTGGTGGAAATGCAGGTGGACTAACTACATTCCAAAAAAACGTTCCTGCTCCCTTGGGAAAGTTTCTCTGGTGGAAACAAGGTTTCAACTTTGACCACAAGATGGTACCAAAACACGTCAACAGCTTTTTCTCCTGCTGAGCTCTTGCAGCAACCTGTGGGGAATGGTGGGCATCCATATGAGGAACAGAGGGAGCAAAACTAAGAATGGTAGAGGACCTGCATGTCTGCCACAAAACTAAGACAGTTAGAATTTTCCGAAGCAACAAATAAGTTGTTTGGTAGATCTATGACACAGCAAGAGAAAGCTACTACTGAAGCCTCAGACAGTCAAACAGTGGCATTTTTTCCATTAGGCCTCATTGTATTTTGTCTCAGACTGCCTTAAACTTGAATATACACTTGTTGTACCCGGTACTTTTTACCATACGGACTCTGAGAGACGAGGCAGTCCAAGTAACTACAAAACAGTGCTGATTTATTCCATGAACACAGGTAAAAATTAACATTACACGCTCAGGCATCTTGCACCTCCAAACTGCACGCAGGCAGATGAAAGATGAAAGACCCCGAACCCAACAGGCCTGTACATTATATCTGTTTTGGGCTAACCCCATTCTACACAGGCTACGTCATCTCACACGACCTCTAGTAACATGTCGTGACTTAAACATAAGAACATATTATGGCTAAGGCTACAGTTATACACGTCATAATAATAATATTAAACATCCTGTCTGCTGACAGTCATCAACTTTTCTCTCTAGTTATCCTTGACCAGATGTACCCTGTAGAAACTCATAAGCATGCCTAAGCATTTAACAGTCTAACCAGACATCCTATCTCCACTAAACATTTCTAATACATAAAGTATCTAACCAATATCTATCTGGCTAAAAATACCTAACACACTCATGGGCCACTTTATTAGGTACACCTGTACAATTGTATCCAATTGTATATTTGTAAGCCTGGGTGAGAGGGCAAAGTTTCTGAGTCACCTGATGAAGTATAGCCGCTGCTGGGCTTTCTTCAGTGCAATGCTTGCGCCTTAACATCACTATTTATGAAGCTCAAACATTTTTAGTTTTTGGTGCAATTGTAATAAATGTATAAACTGGTTGGATACCAACAGGCATGGGCTGGTACTAGAAATGAGGAAAGTGTAGTAACTCATTTGAGAATAGGTCACACAAGTTTAAATTATACCCTGCATAAAATAGGTAAACACCCTACAGGTGTTTGTCCACACTCTAGTCAGACAGAAACTGTAGAGCATGTCCTGTTCATATGCAGTGCTTATAATGAGCAACGTGCTCAAATGATAGCAGTATTGGAACAAAAGAAGATTACTAATATATCACTAGAGAGTCTTTTGGGCAGCAATTGTAAGACAACATATAGAATTGTTATTAGTTATTTTGCAGATATAGGTATTTTGGATAGAATTTAGTAGTTTATGCAGTTCTAAGAATTTTTTATAAATATGTATTCCAACGGCTCTATTAGCGTTCCACGCCCCAGCCCAGCAGGTGGCGGTAATGCACCTTAGGTAGGCTTGCAAACCGCCAATATACAATATAAGAAGAGGAAGAGGAGGAAGCGAGAGAGAGAGAGAGAGGGGAAGATGGCGATAGGCTGATTGAACTGTAGGTAAAGCTAAAATTGATTTAGCAGGTACATAACAGTTTAGAGTAAAGTGCCCGTATTTGGGATTTGGCCTTTACCATTTAAAACATTGCTTCGAAGGAATAAGGACACTAATGGCGCTTCTGTACGGCTTGTTATGGCGGTTCCTGCTGGTTTTGGTCCACGTCAACAGAGCGCTCGTCTCTTGGTTTCGCGTGCGGCTTAGGAGCTGGAAAGGCCGTCTGTGGGAGCGGGCGATGGACGCTCTGTTACTGCCTGTAGCCCTGGCTGGATTCCCTGACCATCAGAAGAAGTTAAACCATAATGCTAACTCTAGCCCGGTAACTGGAAACCGCACTGCCAATCGACGGTCGCAGTGGCAGTGTAACGGCAGGTCACGGGAGAAGCTGCCGGTCCACATCGGCCTATTAATAGCGGAAGAAGAACCCAGCTATACGGACATAGCAAACCTAGTGGTCTGGTGTATGGCGGTCGGTATATCTTATGTCAGCGTCTATGACAATCACGGTAAGCATGTTAAACTGTATCTTCATGGTCTCCGTTGACTGAAGGCGTATCTCAATTTAATTTATCTTAGTAACGTTAACTGTTCTACAATAATAAATGCAGTTTTGAGGAAGCTCATTTGAAAACAAAAACACACTTCTCACTGGAAGAAGCTGAACTACCTAAGGGAGAAATCTAGTTTGACAAACTAAAGCTACTTAGGAAAAAAAACAGTTGAAACTACTTTTTAAAAGATCCAATTGACAATGTACCTTACATGTGATACAGAATTATAGCAATGGAATGCAAAAAAGTCGTGCCAGAAAAAAATGCCAGTCAGCTGAGTTTATTACCTGAGACCTAAACCTGTCCTAAATAAAACATTCGCATCTGGGCTTTCACAAGGACAAAATTGCAAGGAATGTTATATTTGTGTTGTAAACAAATCTGGGTATTGTATTATCTGACTTACAATTAAAACAGTAAAGAAAATTTTTTTTAACTTGCACCTTTTTAGACTGTTTGACTGACTTGAGTGCTGGTCTAAAAATGTTCCTGTTGTTTTACTTATCAGTTTTGTACCATCTGACTTGTATAATCTTGACAACTAAAACTGTCCTCTGCATGCACCTTTTTAGACAGGTTGAACAGCTTGAACACTGGTCTAAATAGTGGGCCTATCTTTTCACTTGTCAGAGCAGAATTTCTTGTTTATATGACACATGAGCCATTTCTCAAAGCTCCTATACACAGGCTGTTTTGTTTGGCAGTGAAAATGTCCGTGTCAGTGCTGAGAAGTTGCTCACATGCAACATGGCAAAAGAAAAATACAAAATCATCCTTTTTTTTTTAATAGTCCAAAATTGTTTGTAGTTGTAGTAGTTAACCACACAAAAATGGCAAACATCTAATTTAACTACTTTAATCATTATGCAAATGTGATTGTAGTTGAATTAGCAGCAAGCTGTGGGAAAATGTTGTTAAACTAACTAGTTTAAACTACATGTACTCCACTACTACCCAACACTAAATATACACTCACTGGCCATGTAAAGGAGCCAGCTCAGAGAGCTGACACATGCACAGCTGACACATCACTAGTCTGTTTGTGGGGGAGAGAGAGAGAGAGAGAGAGAGATTGCAAGCAAATGAAATTCTAATGGCATTGGATTGATAACATTCTGAAGGAATTGTACCGAGTTGCCACTGTGTCAGAGCTGGAATGGTCTCCTCCAGCTTCTTGGTGAAATTAATAAGCATGTCTTTTTATTTTTCTCGATTCTGGATTGAATGATATGGTCTTATCCCTCAGGTATTTTTCTGAAGAACAGCTTCTATCTGATGAAGGAGATAGTCAGGCAGCAGGACTTGCTGGGTGTAGAGGGATCCAAAGTGGAGTTCCTGAGCAACAATGGCAGTGACAAACGTCAGCATAATGGTAAGGACTTAGCACACCTGTCTGTACTGTTATTTCAGTGTTTCAGTGCTGTTGACTATAATAAAAGGTGGACAAACCCACTGTGATGTTACCCATTAGTTTTCTGAAGAGTGGTTTTGAAGTCTGAATGTCACCATATTGGTAGTACTTCACTCCGCCTACTACAGCTAATTAAAAAAAAAAGGACAAAGAGGTGGATCTTGAGTATCAACCAGAAGGTTGAAGGTTCGAATCTCGGTGCCTCCAGTCCACATGTCGAAGTGTCCTTGGGCAAGACACTTGTCGTTGCCCCCGATGTCATCAGTTGAGTTGGCGCTGCAGATGGCTGCCATCGGTTCTGTACCGGAAACAAATTCCTTGTGTGTAACATACTTGGCCAACAAAGGTGATTATCCTTAAATTTACCTAGCTCTGGCAGTGTAGTTACTAGCGAGTTCACCTACATACTGTGCACACTGCTCAGTCAGCCTGTGTGTCACACAGTTGCAAATATCACACTGACACAATAGAGCGCTTTATTATTTTAGCAAAGTTGATGTGCTATTGTATCATCTTACTGGTTGATACAATGGTGGTGTTTGTTTGACCGTAAGGAGATCAGATTAGCGTTCACCTGTTAGCCCTGTAATTTAGCCTATATTGTCACATTCCTGTATATCATATTATTGTATTATAATTACTGATGCATTATTGTGTACATCACATTTAATGTTGCAGCTAATAAAGGGGAGCTAGTTTTAACTACTTTATATACATTTAATTTAAATTATTGCTGAGTAGCTGATGAGTTTTCTACCATAGGTCAGTGAGGTTTTATAATTTTTGTATTGATCTGGCTCTGAAAAGTAACAAGTAACTAAATGTCCGTGTAGATTCGCACAAGTAACTAAAGTTATAAAATAAATGTCGTGGAATAAAAAGTACAATATTAACCTCTAAAGTCAAAGTATGAAGACAACAGAAAATGAAAGTACTCAAAGTACAGATACCTCAAAAGTGTACTTGAGTAAATATACTTGGTCACTTTCACCACTGTTTAGAACAGATTAAAAGCAATTGTGTGATTTACTTGTGTTAACAATGGACAGTCATTATTAATCTTGATTAAATATTTTGATCCATTGACAACGCTAATATATACACATTGTGGCAGAAGAGCTTTCAGGTTGATCTATACAATGGTTATACTATGTTTACATTTTATTACACAGTGGTGATTGCTGTGTCCTGTTATGAAGTCAAGTCAAGATTTTTATTTTCCATTTATGCATAAACAGACAGTCTAGGTATATAGGAATTCTTGTGCAGCTCTCCTTAGGTGTCCGGTAAGGAGTCAAAAACCAGAAAGAACACTTAGTCTTAAAATAAAAAAGTTACATAAAGGCAACAAAGCATTAAAACTGCAATACACAAAAATAGGCAGTGAACTTCAAACATCACATTTAGTAATTCACATGGTGGAGTTGGATATGTCATTATGCTTGTTGAGGTAGTGAGGGGTTATAACATACTAAAACAGTTTATATTCAGGCCTGTTTCTATTGCTTGGCAGAGAATGTCCTGCTATTATTCAGGTCCCCCAAAAGAACACTGTTGATGAGATGCTCTTACAAAAATACCTTGTGGAACATTTCTGTATTATTATTGCGCATGTCTGGTGAGGAGTTATTGCACATATATTCTCACATTTTCGTATTTTCCATCAGTCTTACTGCAGCAGGGAAAAAGCTGTTGTAAAGTCTTGTTCTGTGTGTGATGATACTGTCTGCCCAGCTGTGCTTGAGGCTGTAGGTGCAGTTTTTGTGTCTGAGCACAGTGGGTGGTGTGGGTCTCTGAGTATGTTTTCTGCCTTTTTATGACAGCGCTGTGTGTACAGTGTGTCCATAGCAGGCAGTCCTCTACCAGTCTACCAGTCCTCTATAAGCCTGGGTGAGAGGGCAAAGTTTCTGAGTCGCCTGATGAAGTATAGCCGCTGCTGGGCTTTCTTCACTGTGGCAGCTGTGTTCAGTGACCAGCTCAGGTCAGATGTCACCTGCAGGCCCAGGAACTTGTGGCTGTCAGCCCTCTCCACCTTGGTCCCTTTGATGGTCAGAGGCAGCAGAGGGGAGGGGTTCTTCCTGAAGTCTACTATTATTTCTTTTATCTTGTTTATGTTGAGGATGAGGTCATTCTCCTTTCCATAAACAAGAATATCATTCACCAAGCTTCTGTAACCTGACTCGTCTTCCCCCTTGACGTGGCCCAGAATGGTGGTGTCATCAGCATATTTAATGATGATGATGTTGTCATAGTTGGAGACACAGTCGTGGGTGTACAGGGTGAAGAGTTTGGGGCTGAGATAGCAGCCCTGCAGTGACCCTGTGCTGATTGTGAGCTCAGCAGCCACCCGCCCTCCCATTCTGACCACCTGTGGTCTTTCAGTCAGGAAGTCCAGAATCCAATTGCATCAAAATTGAACAAAGAATAAAACTGATGAGGTATCACATCAAATAATGTGCTGCTGTATTGTTTTCAATGTAATACAGGACACAGATGATTTACAATTCACTATTTTCAGTTTTATTTTAGATTTTACATAGTGTCCAGGAAGTCCAGAATCCAGTTACAGGTTGGAGCTGGGACACTGAGGTCTGTCATCTTCCCAATAAGCCTGCCGGGGCGAATGGTGTTGAATGCAGAACTGTAAGGAAGAGCATCCTAGCATACATACTGCTGTTGTCCAGGTGTTTCAGGGTAGGGAATAAAGCCAGAGTCATCATGTTGTCCACTGATCTGTTGGGGCGGTAGGCAAACTGGAGGGGGTCTACAGTGTCCGGGACGATGTGGTTAACGTGTGTGAGGACCAGTTTCTCTAAGCACTTCATGGCGACTGATGTGATCGCCACTGGCCTGAATTCATTCAGAGTGGATGTGTCTGATGTCTTAGGGACCGGTATGATAATGGATTTTTGAAAGTGCGAGGAACTACTGCTTGGGTTAAAGACAGGTTGAAGATGTGTGTATATATACATACTAGCTAGTTGATCCCCCATAGGCTCTCAACACTCTACAGGGGATACCATCTGGTCCCGCCACCTTATGGGGGTTTACCTGTTTCAGGGCCTTCAGGATCTGTGTATGCGTCACCTGAAAAGCAGTGTCCCCCGGGTCATAGGGGGATTTTGAGGGGGTGTCAGTGTTCAACCTGTCAAACTTCACATAGAAGTTGTTGGGGCTGTCCGGGAGGGTGGCGTCCTGGGGGGCTGTGTTTGTCGATTTGTTCCTGTAGATTGTGACTGCCTGGATTCCCTGCCACATACTGCGCATGTTGTTATTCATATAGTAGCTCTCCAGTTTTTGGAAGTATGCTCTCTTTGGACTTCTGTAGCTCATACTGGGCTTTCCTGTTCTCCGCTTGGTCCCCTGACTTAAAAGCCCCTCGTCTCTTCCTGATTTTCTGTTTAATATCCCTATTAAACCAGGGTTTCTGGTTGGGGAAACATGCATACGCTTGTTATACAAGCATAGATAAACTGTTCATCAGAGTGATGGCACAGGGGAAAAAACTGTCCTTGTGTCTGGTTGTTTTGGCACATAGTGTTCACTAGTGTTGTCCTGAGGACAGGTGTTCAAAGTTTGTGACCAGGATGCGAAGGGTCTGCAGACATCTTCAACTAATAGGTTAGGCAATCTACATTTTTTCTGCAGCAGCTGAAGTAAATGAAGATTTGAAAATAGATGGAAACAATTCCTACAGGTGTCCTAACTTTTGTTGATAACTATTGGAAAAGGCTGTTACTACTATAGATGCAGTGAAAGAAAAACTCATGATATGATATTGCCACGATAAAAAGTCCACAGTACAATATAAAAAAAAAGAAAAGAAAAATACCCTTTACTAAATAATAAATGTTTTTTTTTCTATGATTTGTCTTCCAACTAAAGTTCTTATGCTTTCCTTTATTAAAATTAAAATAGCTGGCAAAGCCCTATGCATCTGCAAAAAATTGGCATGATTGCAAAAGAAAAAATATATAATGCCACAGTCAGTAGCAGTCCTGTTATGAAAAAAAAAATATTGCAAGCAGCTGGATCTTATAAACAAAACAAGTCACACTCACAGTGGGCAAATCAGTGTTTTACTACCCCCTAGGCAGGTTTTACTTTTCTTTTGTGGTGGCTATGAATACTGGTGGTTTGTTTCTATGTCACTGGACCAGTTGAAGCGGTTATCTCCAAGCCACGGGGGACAGTAGTGAGCAAAATGCTGCTTGCCACCACAGAAGGAATAGAAGGCAATGTCAAAAACACTTGAAATAGCCACATATAGGTGAAATTTGAGAGTTACTGGAGGTGTTTTTCAAACATTGTGGTTTACTTTTCAAGAGAGAAGACTTAAAGCAGGGGTGTTCAAACATTTTGTAAAGAGGCCAGATTTGGTGAGGTGAAAATGTGTGGGGGCCGACCATTCAGCCTGACATTCTTTGATCCATTAACATTAAATGCAAATTAACTATTTTACAAAATTTTTATTGCAAATGGCATACTTTTCACTTCTTCACACACAACACAAATAAATCTAAACAAGCTTTTACCAAAATCACTCTGCCTTTCATATTTGAAGACCACATAAAATGAAGAAAAAGACTGTCTGGGGAAAAAAAATTGAGGAAGATTAAACATATCTAGGTTCATTTGAAACATTACATATTAATCACTATTAAATGCTCACTGTAAACTTCTAAATTCAAAACATGTGAACAGGAAAATAACACTAATAGTTATTTTATCCAGAAGCTCCAAGAGTGCCATATGATTCCGTGTATCACTTGTTCTTTCGTTTTTCAATTGACCATCAAAAATATTGGGATATCAAAAAAGGCCAACTTGAAAAACAAAAGACTGATAGAAAAGACTCAGTGCATATTCAAAACTGTGGTTTTGTTCATCGCAAAAAAAAAATCTATTCACTGAGATTTTAGAATGTATTCACCTCAGACTAAACAAATGACTTGCCTGCACTAATGTGAAGGGTGATACTGAGATCTCAACTGCAGTAAATACTTCTTGCACAAGTATGTCGAGCCAAACAAGCTCAGCATTTTCTTTGCAAATGTTCGAATCTCTTGGAACCTGCCTTTATCCAGTCGGCGGTAAAAGTTGACAAGAGGGAGCCGTTGGTGCCGACTGCGACACTCGGCATCACACTGCAACTCAATGAGCTCCAGCTGCATTTTAGAAATGAGCTGGAAAGGATCACACAAGGGTCACGTGGCAAAAGTGCGGCCACAGGTCTAACGCCATCTTCTGGCAAAATATAAAATGGCTTTTTTGTACACGTGTATTTTATACTGTGGTCAACAGAGCTGGCTGGCCGCATATTATTGATTTTATGACAGAGGCTGCGGGCCGGTGGAAATTTGAACATGGGCCGCAATTGGCCCACGGGCCGGACTTTGGACATGCCTGACTTAAAGGGTGGTTACTAAGTAGCTGATTTTGCATATGTGCACCTGCTTTGTTTGCCCATCTTCATTAAAGTGTTGTGCACAGCTGTGTCCTGACTGTTTCTGTGAGATGCATCTAGGACTGTCTCAGCCTTAAACTAGTATTGCCGTCGTCATATTCACAGGTGCAGTTGAGACCAATTCACCCTAAGTGTGTTTTTAACTCATTTGTCCCCGTCCTTGCCCCGCCCCGACCCCCCCCCCCACACACACACACACACTGCCCTCACGCCTAACTGCTTGATCCATATTTAACACTACTGCATAGTTGTATTTTTTTTGCTGATTTCATCAATTGTACTAGAGATTTTATTTGAATATATCAGAAGTTGGGTTTCTTTCTTAAGGAAATTGCTTCTTTGACAGTACAGTCCACTTTTTGGTAGAGGGCACATTTCTTACATTTATTCCTAATCATACAAAGTGGAATACATAAATAATAGCTAATACCTTGACCCAGCCAAAATACTTCAACCCATTTAAAATTCTTCAAGTGTTTAAAACAGAGGTTTTCTATAGAAATGCAACTTCTCTTATTTAACTTTCCCTGTTCAAAGTATCTCAAGTAGCTCAGTTCAGTCATGGGCAGTGGAAGGTGATCATGTTTTGTGTGTGTTTGTCAGTGTTGTCCTGCAGGCCTACAGTGAAAGTCTTGTCTCCAGAGGATGGGAAGCAGAGCATTGTCCAAGCAGCACAGCAGCTCTGTCGCTCTGTGGAGAACAAAGAGAGAAGCTCCAAAGACATCAGTGTCTCCATGTTGGACATCTTGCTCAGAGGTAGCGCTTCATGGCTGTGTGTAAAACTTCCTGCAGTTTTTTTCTGTTTTTCTTTTCCTTTGTCTGGTTGGCACGTATCGCTGATTTGTACATGTTATGATCACTCAGTCAGGGTCTGAAATTGACACCGGCCAGCTGCCAGATGCAGATAGATTTTCCATTTGGCAAGTAAATCTCAGAAGAGTGCATACCACACTGGCGAGCAAATATTTGTAATAAACAATATCCTCAGAGTGACTGCCCTGTGTTGGGGTTAGAGACGTGTACACATATAGTGGTGCGAAAAAGTGTTTGTCCCCTTACTGATTTCTTTATCTTTTTGCATGTTTGTCACACTTTGTTTCAGATCATCAAACAAATTTAAATATTAGTCAAAGATAACACAAGTAAACACATCATGCAGTTTTTAAATGAAGGTTTTTATTATTAAGGGAAAACAAAATCCAAAACTACAAAGCCCTGTGTGAATAAGTGTTTGCCCCCCCTGTCAAAACATAACTTAACTCTGGTTTATCGCACCTGAGTTCAATTTCTTTAGCCACACCCAGGCCTGATTACTGCCACACCTGTTCGCAATCAAGAAATCACTTAAATAGGACCTGCCTGACAAAGTGAAGTAGACCAAAAGATCCTCAAAAGCTAGACATCATGCCGAGATCCAAAGAAATTCAAAAACAAATGAGAAAGAGAATAATGGAGCTCTATCAGTCCGGAAAAGGTTATAAAGCCATTTCTAAAGCTTTGGGACGGCAGCGAACCACAGTGAGAGCCATTATCCACAAATGGCGAAAACATGGAACAGTGGAGAACCTTCCCAGGAGTGGCCGGCCGACCAAAATTACCCCAAGAGCACAGCGACAACTCATCCAAGAGGTCACAAAAGACCCCACAACAACATCCAAAGAACTGCAGGCCTCACTTGCCTCAGTTAAGGTGAGTGTTCATGACTCCACCATAAGAAAGAGACTGGGCAAAAATGGTTTGCATGGCAGAGTTCCAAGACGAAAACCACTGCTGAGCAAAAAGAACATAAAGGCTCGTCTCAGTTTTGCCAGAAAACATCTTGATGATCCCCAAGACTTTTGGGATAATACTCTGTGGACAGACGAGACAAAAGTTGAACTTTTTGGAAGGTGTGTGTCCCATTATGTGTGGCGTAAAAGTAACACCGCATTTCAGAAAAAGAACATCATACCAACAGTAAAATATGGTGGTGGTAGTGGGATGGTCTGGGGCTGTTTTGCTGCTTCAGGCCCTGGAAGACTTGCTGTGATAAATGGAACCATGAATTCTGCTGTGTACCAAAATATCCTGAAGGAGAATGTCCGGCCATCCGTTTGTGACCTCAAGCTGAAGCGAACTTGGGTTCTGCAGCAGGACAATGATCCAAAGCACACCAGCAAGTCCACTTCTGAATGGCTGAAGAAAAACAAAATGAAGACTTTGGAGTGGCCTAGTCAAAGTCCTGACCTGAATCCAATTGAGATGCTGTGGCATGACCTTAAAAAGGCAGTTCATGCCCGAAAACCCTCCAATGTGGCTGACTTACAACAATTCTGCCAAGATGAGTGGGCCAAAATTCCTCCACAGCGCTGTAAAAGACTCATGGCAAGTTATCGAAAACGCTTGATTGCAGTTGTTGCTGCTAAGGGTGGCCCAACCAGTTATTAGGTTTAGGGGGCAAACACTTGTTCACACAGGGCTATATAGTTTTGGATTTTGTTTTCCCTTAATAATAAAAACCTTCATTTAAAAACTGCATGATGTGTTTATTTGTGTTATCTTTGACTAATATTTAAATTTGTTTGATGATCTGAAACATTAAAGCGTGACAAACATGCAAAAAGATAAGAAATCAGTAAGGGGGCAAACACTTTTTCACACCACTGTATATTCTGTGAAGACCTGACTGATTGGTTTTCTGAGTCAAGCGTAAAAATGCGCCTTAGGTCGAGATTACATGCGTAAAGTGCAAGTGGTACACAAGCTGAAATATGGGCAGTGCTGATTGAATAAAATAGGAGCGTATCATGTCTCAAAAACACGTGGTGGATTGTTGTTCCTGTGGTAAGTGTATTCACTTCTTATTTATTGTGCCTGCACCTTGCTGTGCTTGCTACCAGATTGTTTACAGATTAAGTAAACAATGTTCAGATAAACCTAGTAATCTAGGTTTATCTGAACATCAGCAAATTTTTAAGTCACAACATAGCAATGGCTTTTCCCTCTTCCTCTCCTCCTTTCTCTTGCTTGAAGTGTCGCATTTTTAGTTATTCCTCTGCCTTCTTTAGTGATAATGGAACTTGTAATAAATGTCAGATGCTAGCAGCATTGGGGTCAAGGCTCACCGAACTGGAAGCGTGGCTCTGCGTCATGGAAAACAGCCCAGCTAGCCAGGCCTATGTAGCCGGTGCGGAACCTCCTATATGTAGTTCAGCCCAAGCTAGCGTTTCTCGGGCAGCCGGGAGCTCCACCAGGTGGCTGGGTGACAGTTCATAAGAGTCATGGCTCAAAACAAACTTCACAAGTCAGAGGTCACTAAAATGAATGTTTAGTTGGTGTGTAACTTTGCCAAAACAATGTCAGACTCTGTATTTTTCTGTGGACCCTTGCTCAATCTGACCAGTGATGACATGTTTAGCCACATGCCGTCATTCGACCGCTGGCTGTCTAGGTGGTGCCCAGAAAACGATGTGGGCTTCATAGACAGTTGGAAAACCTGGTCTGATTAGGCATCCACCCCACTTTGGGTGGTGCTGCTCTCATATCTAGAAATCTGGACGAGTTTATTTTACAACTTAAATTATGACAACCCAGAGTTGAGAACAGAATGCAGGGTCACAGTCTTACACGCCTCTCTGCTGTCTCCTTGCTGCTGTTACCCACTTAAAACTCCCAGTACCCAACAGACAGTGTCTGTCCCCCACCCACCTAAATTATATAAATCAAAAATCAACTAAGGAGGAGTTTACAATTAAGACTAGTCCTCTTATAGAACAAAATAAGATGACAATCAAATGTGGACTATTAAATATCAGATCTCTTTCATCTAAATCTCTTAGTGAATGATTTGCTAAATTAACATCAAATTGATTTATTCTATCTGAGTGAAACCTGGTTACAGCAGGAAGAATATGTCAGTCAAAATGAATCAACCCCCATTGTTGAGGTCTAGGTCAGCTGTGCAGTGTAGACTCAGTTGGCTTTTCTCAAACTGTAAATAAACCCACTCACTGTTTTAATCACACCCTGGATCATGTTCTGACATATGGCATTGAAACTGAACACTTATAGTTTTTCCCCAAAACCCTCTTCTGTCTCACTATTTTCTAATAGCTTTTGAATTTACATTAATGGATTATATATGTGGGAGAAATTCCACTACAGTAGATGTCTATCTGACAATGCTGTTACCAAGTTTGAGGAAATAATTCCATCATTATTTATTTCAGTGCCATGTGCTAACGCAATAGAGTGCAGCCACCTTAACTTCAGTCCCACATGTCGATAATCTTGTTGATAGTACTGCAGCCTCCCTGCAAACGACACTTGATACTGTTGCCCTTCTGAAAAAGAAGGCTGTGTAACAGAGGAGGCTAGCCCCGTGGTACAGCTCGCAGCTCCGCTCCCTAAAGCAGGCATCACAAAAGCTGGAAAGGAGGTGGCGCTCCATTAAGTCAGAAGAATTTTTCCTAGCCTGGAAAGATAGTTTAATAACATATAAAAAGCCCTTCATAGTGCCAGAACAGCATATTATTCATTATCTTCCATTCCAACAACATGTATGCTGTCTGTGCTACAGTATATACTGTATATCCCTGACTTCAAACTTGGTTGCTGTCAGCTGTAATGAATGTAGTTTTAGATAAACTATGAGCGTGTTGCAGGCATCAAATTCAAAATGAGTGAATATTTGCAAAAAAACAAAGTATCAGTTTGAATATTAAATATCTTGTCATTTGCCGTGTATTAAATTAAATATGGGTCAAAAAGGATTTGTCAATGTATTCTGTTTTTATTTCCGTTTTACATAATGTCCCAACTTCATTGGAATTGGGGTTTGTGGATGCACCTTTGGCTGCAGTCACAGCACTGAGTCATTCTTCTTTGCAAAACTGCTCAGCTCTGCCAGGTTGCATGGGAATTGGGCATGAACATCCCTTTAAAAGTCCAGCCACAAATTTTCTATTGGACTGAGGTCTGGGCTTTGACTCAGCCACTCCAGAACACTTTAATCCATTTCTGTGTAGCTTTCGCTGTATGCTTCAGGTCATTGTCTCGCTGGAAAATAAATCTTCTCCCAAGCCATAGTGCTCTTAAGAAAAATCTTCTTTATTGTCATTAACACGTACAACGAAATTTTGTTTGGAGCCGAGGGCCCCAGGCCGCTGCGTGTGTACGCGCCGCCATCACGGGCAACTTAGGGGTTCAGTGCCCAAGGACACTTCAAAATGTGGACTGCAGGCACCGAGATTCGAACCTCCAACCTCCCGGTTGGGAGACGACTGCTCTACCCACTGCACCACTGAATAAGATTGTCTTCCAGGATTTTCCTATATTTTGCCATGTTCATTTTACCCTCTACCTTTACAGGCTGCCGAGAAGCATCCCCACAGCATAACGCTGCCACCACCGTGCTTCACAGTGGAGAGCGTGTGTTTGTGGTGATGTGCAGCTTTTGGTGTTTGCCAAACATAGCGTCTTGCCTGATGGCTACAAAGCACAATTTTTGTCTCATCAGACCAAAGAACTTTCTTCCATTTGACCATGTAGTCTCCCACATGCCTTTTGGCAAACACTGGTCAAGATTTAATGTGAATTTTCTTCAGCAGTGGCTTTCTCTTTTCCACTCTCCCATAAACTTTAACTGGTGAAGAACAACAGTTGTTGTATGCAGAGTCTCTCCCATCTCAGCTGCTGAAGCTTGTAACTCATTCAGAGTAGTCACAGGTGTCTTGGTGGCCTCTCTCACTAGTCTCACTCAGTTTGAGGACGGCCTGATCTAGGCAGATTTAGACATGTGCCATAGTCCTTCCATTTCTTGATAATGGATTTAACTGAACTCTGGGGGGTGTTCAGTGCCTTGGAATTTTTTTTTTGTATCCATCCCCTGACTTGTACTTTTCAATAACCTTTTCTCTGAGTTGCTTGGTGTGTTCTTTTGTCTTCGTGGTGTAACGGTAGCCAGGAATACCGATTAACCAGTGACTGGACCTTAGAGACACAGGTGTCATTAGACACATGCACTGCACTCTGGTGATCCCCATTTCACTAATTGTGAGAGTACTAGCACCAATTGGCTGGATCTCTGTTGAATTAGGTTAGTCATTTTAAAGGAGGTGAATATTTATGCACTCACTTATTTCCCATTACATATCTTATTTAAATGACATTACTTTGTAGAAACCCCGTTTTCACTTTGACATTAGATTTTTTTAGTAATTTTTTTTGGGTCAAAAAAGCCAAATTATATTGACAATGATTGATTTTATAAAATCTGTAAAAGGGTAAAAACATCCAAGGGGGTGAATACTTTTTATAGGCACTGTACATGTACATAAAAGCCAGTTCTGCCCACACACATTACTGGATAGTACCCACTGACCCCCATCACCATTTCATTATAAGGTCTATTTAGATGAAAGTTTCACAAGGTGGACTGTACAGATAAATGAATTGATGACATGCTTCCTGTCTTTGTGCTTTGTTCAGAGTCAAAGAATATTCCTGACCCTGAGCTGGTGGTGAAGTTTGGTCCTGTGGACAGCACGCTGGGCTTTCTCCCCTGGCACATCAGACTCACAGAATTCATGTAAGCTACTCTGTCTTTGACTCTCAGGCCTCGATTTTGCATATACAAGCAGAAGATTCAGGTTTAATTCTGAAACTGTTCAAAAAGTGACCAACAAAACCCTCCAGTAGATGGCACTGTTGTCACTTTTAGCATGGGTGTGATATATATATTATCCCTCTCTGAATGTGTTCAGTTTAATTTTTGATATTTGATGTTTGAGATGTGTGTCCTGCTCTGTGTCCTCAGCTCCCTGCCCTCACACAGAAACGTTTCTTATGAGGACTTGCTGGGTGCCCTGCAGCAGTACAGCACCTGTCAGCAGCGCCTCGGCCAGTGATGTGATTGCCGGCATCAGGTTCTTCAGACAGAAAGATTTGTGGGATACACAGAGTCAGAGGAGTCAATGCAGGTGATGACCCCTCCATCCCTTGCTGTGTCCCCCTACTCTGTCCATCTCCTGGATCTGTAAAGAGGAGGACACCAGGAGAGCCAGCCAGCTCACTTCCTGCCACCAGCTCTTGTCTTATAATAAACTCACATTCCACAGGACTTGTGGAACATATTCTCCAAGCCAAGGGAAAATAGCACATCTGAGACACACACTGACATAAGAGGACACAAACTGTGCTCTGTCCTCTCCAAGCCTCTGGCTCACTGTTTGGCATTCAGTCTCCAGCTGCTGTTTACTGCTGAAGACTTGCAAATGACTTGCCTTCACTCAGCAGACAGCAAAGAACCAAGGCTTTGTGCCTGTCCTTGTGAGGCATCCTGGGAAATACATCTGCACTTTAGGAAGAAGCTCAACTAAAGTACCAACATGTCATGTACTGGGCAGTGGAAGTTGAGCTTAGGGCCCGGGTGGTTAATAATGTGTAAATATGGGAAATTTATGTGGCTCTGTTAGTCTCTCCACCTTGCAGTCGTGTTCATGTGTAGTGTTGATTCAGACACATCCACAGGTTTAATTAAGTGCGCTTACACATATGGATACATAGTAGTTGCCATTATCTGGCCTCTCCAATCTGTAGGTCTGGGAATTGTTGTGTTGAGCCTATAATTTACATTCTCTGCTCAAACTGGACAGCTGTTTTCTGGTTTCCCTCTTGAATCTTGAGTGAGAAGTCAGTGAATGGCACCTGTAGCTGTCCCAGCTTTTTGAATCTGTATGTGTGAATGGCTCATAAAGCTCCTGCTAGACTGACCAAGCTCTAAAATAAAGAAATGCACTGTCATTATATGCGAGCCTGCCAACTGTACATCTTACCTCACATTCCTTAACTATGTTACCAGTTATCCGTTAACCAGAGTTCCATACTTGGCTATGTGATGATGAAGATTGTGAGATTATATAAGTTGGTAAATGTAACTATTATTTGAACAAATGTTCGCCCTTTAGGTACCACTTTTCCACCTGATCAGATGTTAAAGGGTAAATATAAATACAGTTTATCTTGTGAAAATGAAGTGAGGATAATGAAATAAGAAAAAACAACCAACCACAGCTATATTGACATAACAGTGGGCCTGTGTCTTGTTTATGTAGCTAGTGCTGTGTGTGTCTACTGTGACTGCCTTTGGAATAGTTATCACTGAGCCTTGGCCTCATCTCTTTTGTCGGTGTGTTGATGCTTTTTTTCCTGACTGTTAACATTTTCACCTCCATGCAAGAAGCCATCAAACCAAACTCTAATGCTGTGTGGTGTAATAACTGTGTCACTTCATGTCATTGTGCTGCTACACACAGACATTCCACCGTATCCCACATGTCCGCTGTGTGTGGATCAAGTGTATGATTGCATTAAAGGTCTTTGCTTTTCTGTCCTCCAATCTCTTTTCTTTACACATAATCCCAACAGAATTTACCTCTCCACTCCACATTACATTTCATAGCAGGGACCTTCCATCACTGAGTATGGATTTTATGATGGGAGGCAGTATGCCGATGTACTTTGCAGTTCTCGGAAAGGCTTAGGAGGTCCATGTTGCTCCCAGGCACTGGCAGACCCCCAGCAGAAATAGGAAGAAAAAGGAAGGAGAAAAGTAAAAGAATGAGAGGCAGAGGAAAGAGTTTAGTGTGGAGAAAGGAGCTTCCATAGAGATCGCCCATCAGCTGACTCTGCCCGAGTCTGAGCTCTACAGAACTGTCTGGCCATCTGAACTGGTCGGCAGCGTTTGGACCAAAGAGGACAAAGAGAAGAACTCGCCAAACTAGTAGAAACTAACAAATTAGTTCAAAAGCTCTGGTAATGCCACATGATCACTGGATAGCACATAGTAGCCTACTGTGCAGTTGTCTGGATGAGAACTGCAGCCCCTTGAGATGAATGCAGGCTGCACATGGAACTGATTAGTGGATCAATCTCTTTACTCAATAAATCTTGCTGATATACTGTATATAATGCCAACTCTGGGTTCAAACTGTTTTCTGCCAAGTTGTTCTAAGCATTTGTCCCCAACCTGTGGATCATAGCGATAATTAAAACGTGTTTGAAAAAAATGTTTTGCTATGTAAGACTATCACTCTGACGTGTTTCTTTTTTTTTTCTTGTGAAATGGTGAGTGGGTCCTTTGACCTTATCTGGCTTCTGACTCCTTCAAATGAAACAATTTGACATGGGAATATCCCCTCTTGGTTCAATTGTCTACAACACAAGGGCCAAAAAATGACTATGGAACATCATATTAAAATGCGTGTCAGGCAAGACAGCCACATTCTTTGGGCAGTCAGTGGAGCCTATTGCTGTGGTGTAGCCGCTAACAAATGATGGTGTAAAGACTGATGGAAACCTCAGTCTCTGCCGTTAAGTTTTATTCTACATGATAGAAGAAATACTTTTAACAATAAAAGGCCTATACCTGAAGATATTTTTGCTTTTTGCTGTCTTTGCCAATGCCTTTATACTGGGCTGATTCTGTTTTGAGATGGGGTAATAGTCATTAAGGATAAGGACAATAGGGATAATCAGCTTTATTGGCCAAGTATGTTACACACAAGGAATTTGTTTCCGGTACAGAACCAAGGCATCTATCTGTGGCGTCAACTCAGCTGATGGCACTTCGACATGTGGACTGCAGGCACCGAGATTCGAACCTCCGACCGGGAGACAACTGCTCTACCCACTGAACCACAGTCGCCCCCCCATTATGTTTGTTAGTAGCAGTTGAAGGTAGTGTACCTAAAGATGAGGGAATATTTGAGGTATCAAGATAAAGAATGCTATTGGCTGATGACTGAAAACATGCATGTGGGGGTATGGGAGTAATTTTGATTTGTAGTATAATTAATTCAAGCTGTGGCCTTGTTTCTTACCACATTAACAACAAAATAATTCCCTTTTTAAATGATGTGATAACATAATTTAGAAGTAGTTCTTTTGGAGTTATTTTGTCTATCAGTGGCGGCATACAATCAGTCAGTCAATCAATCAGTATTTCAGTGTACATCCTATATAGTACATGACAAATTGGCATTGACTCTCAAAGTCTCTGAACTCCAGTGGAGAGTTGAACACCATTCTCCTGATATTCCTTCATTTGATGAAGGATATGACGTTCCTTGCAATGTTGTCCTTGTGAAAAGCTTACATGGGATTGTTTATCAGGACAGGTTTAGGTCTCATGGGCATGCCAGGAAGCTGAATTGTCACAAAATGTTTAGTTATAGTTTTTAATGTTTTGAATCTGAATTTGTAAAACTACAATGTCAGTTAATCACAACTATTGATTTTGCTATGTATTAATAAATGTTCGAATATGTTGCTGCATAGTGTTTTAGAAGCTACCCGACTGACTGACCCTGTTTGGTGCAACGGACTCTAGGTTCTGGAAGGCAGGTGTCTGACTGATGGATGTGCACTTTCCCATGAATAGTGGGCTATTCTTTTTTGGCTCATAATTTCAAAACACATTGTTGGTTTGATCATTTTTACAAAGTAGTTTAAATGCTTTTTCTATGTAACTTTAGTTTGCCAAACTAGATTTCTCCCCAGGGTAGCTTTGCAGTAGTTCAACTTCTTCCACTGTGAATAGGTAGCTTGTAAAGCTATGCTTTCTAAGTAGCTTCCCCAGCACTGCTAACATGCCTGTCCAAACTTTCACATGGTATTAGTGCAGCAGTGTTAGTGCTCTTGTGTGGAAAGAATTGTGCATTTAATGCTAAAAGCATGGATTTTTCACCAATGTTAGTACATACCATAAGGTTTAATTTCAGATGTGGACATGAACTGTATCTGACCTGTGAGGACTGTAAGACGTCATTGACCTCTTATCATCAAAAATGATATTTCATGCCATAAAATAACTAGAAATAATATCCTCAATACACATTTTGTGCTTTTTAAATCATAATAAAAGTCCACACACATCACACGGTGTGTTGCTAATTATTTGCATTTGTCCAAATACAGGTTTCAAGTCATTTGTGATAATTTATATTGCTTTTATTTTCAGAATGGAGCTACCTATATGAAGCATGCAGACTGGTTTTGATGTAAAATGTGATGGTTGGGTACTAACAATTTTGATATATTCTGTATTATAGGATCCCTATTTCATGCATGACCCAAGCCCTCTGCAGCCTCCAGACTGCTGATCCTAACCTGCTACTGTAGTTGGTGGTAGCTGTTGATAGAAACTGTAGTACACTAGCTCATAGAACTAATATCCACTTCTGTCAACCCACTGTTATTGTAAGCATCGCAAAACATCACATTCTGATAGACCCTACCCAACCTTCCTCATCCAAACAGCTCAAACCAACCCCAAGAACATATGTGTCCTGTGCCAGGAAGAAACAGATTGCAGTGCCCACTGAGGTCAACCGGATCACCCCTTAGTAGTGGCTATGCAACCCTGGTGGAGGACCTTTGTCTGTTTCAAGGCCTTCAGCGGATGCCACTAGACCTCAACATGGAGAGAATGGATGATGACAATGGTGCTGAAGCAACTCTTAGAGCACACGGTGCTCAGTGGCTTAAGAAATGCTGACTCAAATTCAACAAAAAAAATTTTAAAAAAATAAAAAAATGTTCGATCAGCAGAGCCAAACAGAAGCAGCTACAGTACATAAGAGCAGTACATCTGTCCATACATGGTCAGCGAGCCCACAGAACCAACATGTTTCTTCTGTGATGAGCCTGCTGGCTCTTCAGGCTTACATGAAGCAGCAACCTACCAGACAGACAAGAAAGTATGGAAGTGTGCTCATCAAATGGAAGACACTGCACTTTTGGCTTGTGGCAGGGGACATGATTGCCATTGAGGCCAAGTGTCATAGGAAGTGTTTGAGCACACTGTACAACAAAGCCAGACAGGCTACTTCCCAGAAAGATGCTGGAGATAAGGACCGTCCACATGGCATAGCCTTGGCTGAATTGGTGGCATTCATAGAGGATATGTCTAGTGATGAAGACAGTGCTCCAGTATTTAAGCTGGCAGACCTAGCTCAGCTGTACAAGCTCAGACTGGAGCTTGATGTTGTGGTGGAAAGACATGTGGACACAACCAGACCAAGAGGCAGACTCCTGTCTGAGCTTCCTAACCTACAAGCACATTCACAAGGAAGTGACACACTTCAAACATTTGAAAAAGATGTTGATCCAGCACTCAGGAAAGCCTGTGACTATGGCAGTGATGCCATGCACTTAGTGCGAGCGGCACAAGTGGTATGCCAGTAGAAGTTTGACATGAAATTCTCATTTGATGGCTCATTCCAGGCAAACTGACCACCATCTCTATTGGCTCTTGTGAAAATGATCCTGGATGGGGCAAATATCAAGCACCAGACTGACAATACACAAGCTGCCCTAACAATCTCCCACTCCCTAATGGGCATGGAGTGCAAACACACTTCCTGAAGGATGTCAGGTCACTTGGTGCAGTCATTGAGGACATGGGAAACCCATTCCTTGAAGACAGTCAAGATCTTCTAGTCCTCGACACAAAGGACATCATGGATGCTGCTGTGGCAGAGACTGTGAGGAAGACAGAACCCCTTGGTGAGGAGCAGTACATCAAGTTTGTGGAAGAAAGGCTAGTGCTATGAACAAAAGCCAACCCCCAAGAACAAACTACCACTATTTAGCTGTCAGCCAGTGAAGACATGGTCAAGACAGAAGACACAGCTTGCTGCTCTGAAGAGTGACTGTGATCTATTTTCTAGACTGTACATTGCTTGATTGTAGACTGTACATTAGATAGGGATCTTGACCAGTTCTTCTGTCATGAGAATCAACCAGCACCACCAGCTTTGTCAACAGGAGGCAAACTCCGGCAGATCTGCTACACTGTGTGGAAAAAGACCTGTCTGAAGACACTGGTGTCCCTGTGGTTGTCACATCAATCCCTGATGGGGCAGCTGTGGTTCAGATGTTGAGCCCTGGAACATCAAAAACCTTTCAAGAGTATGCAGACACAGTGTTTGTACCATACATCTCTGCTCAACTGGAGAAAACCAACCGCATCGACATAGTCTGGGATGTCTACCTAGCTGACAGCCTGAAAGGTATAGCCAGAGAGAAGAGAGGGAAAGGCACCAGGAAAAGAGTGGCTCCCTCTAATTTGATGCCAAATAACTGCCAAATTTGATACGTGAGCTTTCTGAGCAAAAAAAAAAAAATCACCAAAAATGCCCCATGTATCAAATGTGATACATGAAGAAATAGAAATAATCTAAATAATATGGCACTTCTATTCCTATATGCCTGGACTGTCTGTCTATGCATATATGGCAAATAAAAATCATGAATCTTGAATTTCGAATCATGAATTTTGTTTTGGATTTTGTTAAAAGGTTTAATAAATATCTCAGTTCCAAAAAATTTGAATGTTCTGGCTATTTTTTGATATGTTGGGCTTTACAGGGTTAAACCTCCTTTTTTTAACTAGCACCTGGGTCGACAATCTTGAGTCCAACTTCAGTTCAACCGTCACCCTCCTGGTGAAGGCGACTAACCATAACATATACAACACATGGAAGGGAAGTCCTGTGCTCTTCTGAGGACTCTGACTTGACTTACCTTGCACCGTGTTCACAGGAGGAGGCTAATACACGTCTTCTTCTGCATGTGGCACATGCTGTACGGAACGGCAGCAACAAGTTGACCATACGCACTGTTGATACCGATGTAGTGGTAGTGGCCATGTCATCATTCAGCAGAATAAAACCTGGTACTGAGACCAGGTTCAGGTACATAGAGTACCTCTTCAGGAACTAGTTTCCACAATGAGCCACGCTACCCTTCTTTCATGCTTTTATGGGGTGTGACACTGTCTTTGTTTGCTGCCTGGGAAACTTGGCAAGTAACAGATGCCTTTGAAGAACTTCTTCACATGCCAGCTGATATAGGTAAGGAGACAATGGCACTGGTAGAGCATTTTGTAGTATTGATGTATGACAGAACCAGTGACAGCATGCTGGTGAATGATGCCAGGAAGCAGCTCTTCACACATAAATCCTGAACATTAAAGAACATTCTCCCCACACAGGCAGCACTGAAGCAGCACATCAACCAGGCCAACAGCTGGAGCCAGGCGCTGGTCTTGACTCCAGATATGCTGAACCCATCAGGCTGGGGGTGGACAAAGGAAACAACTGGATGGCTGCCTCTTTGGACCACACTTCCTGAAGCATCAAAATTGCAAGAAGGGGTGCACTGGACACTGCAAATGCAGGAAGGCTGCCCTCAAGTGCACCTCGCTTTTGTTCAGGGGACTGCTAGGCATGATGCACACCAACAGCTACAGTTAACATCACAAACATATGCTCATGTACTGTGTACTGTGTGCTCAACTCTTATAAACACACACTTCAATCGCCATGACTTCAAAAGTTCTGTATTTCTACAAATGTAAACAATATTAGAAACATATTTTGTGATGTGCAGACTGAGTATTGCATAACATTATTTCTTGTGATTCAATGGTGCAAAATCTTATTTTTGACGATGGAAGGTCAATGACTTCTCATGGTCCTCCTAGGTCAGATACAGTTTACCTCCACATCTGAAATGAAACCTTATGGTGTGTACTAACAGTTGTGAAAAATCTATGTATTTATCATTCAATGCACAATTGTTCTGCTTATCTGCTGCACTATAGGTGTTTATTTGGGTTGATATCTGGTGACAGTGAAGACCACAGCATATGGTTCACAACATTTTCATACTAATGAAACCAGTCAGTGCCAGTGGATTGGGCCACTGGCACGTGGAAGAGACCACTCTCATTAAGATATAAAAGTTTCATCATAGGATGAAGATGATCACCCAGAACAACTCTGTATTGATTTGCTCTTTACTCTTCCCTCTAAGGGTACAGGTGTGGACTCAAACCATGCTAGCATATCCATCTGCTGCTTCTCCACCGATTTATCAGGTTTTCCTTTTATTTTGTCACCCTGCATATTTATACATTCCGACGTAACCTATTACGTCTTTATCCCAGGAGGATGTCTGTGTGAAAGGACGACACCTTGTGGTAAATCGGCTTTTCCATATCAATTGCAGGACCTGGTTCTGAATACCATACTTTGTTATCAGGGAAGAACATCATAGCAGCGGGTTTGTTCCACCTTAACAGCATCCCTACTTCACACTGCTGTGTTTTGCGTCTGAAAGCTGCCATCCAGAGCTCCGCGGTTTCTCCTCCGCCTGCCGAGAAGAGCCAATACCACGTTCCCTCCTCCTCCGGTCCACCTCGGAGCAGAATGCGCTGAGCTCCCCTCCGTCTGTAGAAGGATGATTTCCGTCGTCTCCACTGTGGAGAGCATACCCAGAAGTACGGGCACCCCAGCGCCGAGCTTTTACCAGCGGATCAGGAAGGTGTTAACCAGGTAAAACAAGGATGGCGGCGTTGATCTGCAGCGAGCATCGTTTACTTTCACTCCAGGCTCGGTCAAGAGCGGCACCAGCGGCTCATCACTGCGGGCAGAGAAGCTCATTTTCCTTTTGTTTCACACACAACCTGTAACATCAGACCCGTTATATTCAGTGTGCTGCTACGGAAAGCATGTTGTGCAACAGATGTCAACATACAGCATCTTCCGTTTGCATGAACATCCATTATATGTCTGGTGTGTGTGTGTGTGTGTTCGGGGGCATTCATGCTCCATTTGGTACTCA